TTGTACTGTCTGTTTCAGGAATGGCAATTATGTCTTTGCATAAAAAATGTTAGTAAGCATCTTGTAATCCTACCTTTGTTTCAAATGGTTGTATGAAGACCTTCCTGTGACTGCCTGCTGTTATGACTACCTTGTCATGCCCACCTTGCAACCGTGTCTTTGTTTCCGGACCCCCTGTAGGACTAACGTGTTATGCTTATGATCTGCTCCTGTAACCCCGAGTATTTTGCCCATCCAATCCCCATGTGGAAACCCCGTACCCCTGAGCTATAAAAATCTTGACTTCCTTGTATCCAATGCTGACCGCTCAAACCCCCACAGTAGGGGTGGAGGCAGCCTGTGTGCATGGATGAAAAAGCTTGCTTTAATTAACTACTTTAATTGGGCCGTGATTTAGGTCAGTGGTCGCTCTCCCATCTTTGGGATTAACATTAAGTCTCTAGTATATGAGCCTTGATTACAATTTCATCCTGGGAGGAAAGCTGAAACTACTCTTGCGTTGGAATCATGGAACCCTATAGCTGACATCCCATAACAATGAACCTCCTAAAATCCTATAATACAGAGCAATTTCTATGGTATTTTCGCACCGTCCTAAGAGTCACATATGGTGAAAGGGCGGTGGAGAGCCCAATATTACAGATCAGTCAGCTAAGGGCCCCATCTAGCACAATTTTCTTACAATAGTCCTATGCTCATTCATAGAATTGTGAAATTTACCTACCAGATAACAACTTAGCTGATTGTGGTTAATCAGTATCTTCCTTGAATCTTGAAATGAAACCACGAAAAGTAGAAATAGTCTATCCAATTGGAGTTTTAAACCATGGAGAAAACATAATCCATGGTGCTGGGCTACCTGTAGAGTAAACTTTAGCTCTAGACACAATCTAAAACTATCTCAGCAAAGGAGCCCTGAAAGATAAATCACAGGGAAGAAATGCTAGGAAGAAGGGAGGGTATCTTGTCAAGACGTCCTCCAGTGAGGTCTTAGGCATGGCAGAGCTTCTGTCTCCTCTGCTGCCTTTTTATGGGGAAAGAGTGTCGGAGTGAAACTGCAGGGGGGGGGGGGGGGGTAATGGAGGAGAAACGGCTCGGGCTAAGGGCAGCGCATCTCCATCGGGGACACTTCATGCAGGATTATCACCTGGGGAGGATTATCTGCCAAACTGCTGTAATGCTCTGGGGAAAACAGTTTGCTTTTAGCATATAAAATAGGACAAAGAGAATGTAAGTTCTCAACTAGTAAAGGTAGCCGGAAATTCTGATCAGTGTGTCTGTTGATGATGGAACTTTCCAACCTTAAATATGTAGAATTGCTGAGCAAAATCATATGCACGCACTCACACACTGTCCCAGGGTCGACTCATAAATCAGACCAAGGAGATGCAGCTAAAGTCAGAGGAAGACCAGACCCTAAGAAGGGTCTGAGTAGCTTCCAACTGACCTTTCACCTTCCTAGGAGCTGGAGCAGAGGGCAACAGATAGCACAGGACTTGGTCAGACACAGAGCAGGAATCTCACGGCATGATCGCTCTCTGGGAAGTGGCTCAAGGACTTCCTTATGCCTGGCCCCAGAGGATCAACAGGGTCACTGCAGAAAGCTTAGCTAGTGTCATACATGAGAATTCTGACATTCACACTGGCTCACAGCATGGTGGCCCAGGTCCAGAAGTAACACAGAAGCTGATTCTGAGCAAGTAAAATGTATATGACCCTCAGCAGAGGCAAAAACAAGAGCTGTCTTCGGAAGTGATGTCATTACCAGGTCTACATTCAGAAAGGAATGCACAGTTCATAAAGGAAACGCAAACACCTTCATTCTTCAATCATTAAAATGTCTGTGAAACTGTAGACACTTCAGGCAATATTTAAAAGGCAAATGACCAGATGAACAAAGTACCTGCAAGTTTAATAGCTGGTTAAGATTGTACCATCCTGTAATAAGCCCTAGCTATAGATTAATAAACAAATAGAAAAATAAGAAGTACAAATAAATCTATGAAAGAGAAAACTGCCCAGTAAACATAAGATATTTAGTCTTGGAAGCAACCATGAAAATACAAATTAAAACACTAATGAGGTACATTTCACATTTATCAGATTGGCAGAATTCAAAAAACTATAACCATACAAAGTTAGAAATCATATAAAATATGTTGATCCTAAAACATAATCATTTTCCTCCTAGAAGCACCTAGAGAGAGCTCTGGTTAGGCCCCAGCTGTCTGCGTGGCGGCTACAGCTGCATGCCAGGCAAGACAGCAAACCTTTGCAGGATGATCTGGTCTCTACTAAGAAAAATGGAGGAATTGGCAGCCGTGTCTACTACGGGATATTAAACACCAACTTAAAAAAACCAGTTCTACTCTATACTGTTAATACAGGGCTGCTTTAAAACACAAGCCGGGATGGGAAGAAGTCTTGCAGAATGGTGCGGTATGATAGTGCTGGTGGAAAAAATTAAATCATAGCCTCCTTGTGAAATGCTTCAGCAGCTATATATTCTGGGATGACAGAAACAAGTGAGGAAGATGCTGACTAAGGCCTCAGGCAATTATTTCAACTTTGTAACGCTCCACTTGCTTTTTTTGAAAATGTGGAACAATGTAAAGCATATTAAAATTCTCACTGCTATGTGATGGATACTAAGATATTAATCTTTATATTTAAACATTCCTTAAATGGAAAAACACTATATGAGGAAAATAAAAGAAACCAGATACCTTGGTCCTATACAATCTCTGAGTTGCAATCAAATCTCAGAACATCAGAAACACAAGTGTGTGCAGAGTTATGGTCACCAAGATATTTGGTCTTGCATTTCTTACATGCCCCTCATCATGCAAGGCAATGGAGTAAAACCCTGCAGGCAGCTTAGCGGAATGCAGCTGGAGCCACAAATGCACTAGGCATGTGGACATCTTGACATCTTTTCAGCATCTCCTTCCTTAATGCTCCTAGGTTAAAGCTACCATTCTAAAATGTGGAAGAGATGTGAACTAATTATAAGCCCAGCTTATAAACAAATATAGAATAAGTACAAATAAATCTATGAAAGAACTTCCCAGTAAACATAAGATTTAGTCTTGGAAGCAACCATGGAAATAAATATTAAAACACTAATGAGGTGCTTTTCACATTTATTCTGAAGTGTTCTCCTTTATCTCCATGGTCCCTCTTGCTTTAGGCTTTACTAGTCCTGCCATCAGTTTGGCCAATTGTCAATCATTCCATCCATTACTCTTTCTGTATTTGCTCACTTTTGCTTTGGTGTTTCTGAGGTCGTGTCATCTTTCTGAAAACTCAGTCTTTCTTAAACAATCCTTTCCCTTCTACAAATCTAAAGCAGTGACAGCAGAGAAGACAGTGAGCAATGCCCTGCTATGGTAGCAACCATGCCAACTACCCAACTTGAATCTGCTTTCTATTAAATGTGCTCCCTCCCATTATCAATAATTGACTCATTTCATTTGTCTTTGACTTTGTAAGCATTCAGGAAATAGAACTGTATTTAAGGCTCTTTACATGATAATGTAACTAATGCTTATATGTAGCGATTTCTGTGGTCACACTTGGAGAAACGAAATGCTATAAAAGCAAAAGGAGACAACACTTGGCACATATACTTCAGACATTGTACTTTCATGATAGTAAAAAGTTGGTATGTTACCGCACAAAGATACATAGTTCACTTGTATTATCTGAAACATGATCAATATTTAGTAATTATTTGTTTGTGCAGTTATTTCTTTTAAAAATCATCTTTCTTCATGTGAGCCTTATAGAATCACCCAATTCACTTCTTTAGGTGAATAAATAGAATTCAATTTGAATTAAATGTCGGAGCAACTGACTTTGTCAAGTGGTCACGGGACCTTTGGTGTGTTGCTTTGTACCCATGCTGCTCCCCCTTCACCCAGTGTGCTGCGGAAAGGGCACGGTACAAGTCAAGATCAAGGACAAGAGTCAGGAATCAAGCAAAACTGCTTTATAGACTAAGAGTCCATAGTTGCTTTATCCCCAGTACTGAGCTTTGAAGAAAAAAACACCTAAGCCAGGGCTTCAGACTTTATGGATCCCACGGCCCAAAATGTGAACCATGGTCACAAGAGCCACGGGTAGTCCACCAATGACCATGAGTGAATCGGTCATTCTCAGCACTGAGCATCTTTTTCCAAAAATCATTTTTCCCATTGTGTCGATCAAGTCAATCCAGCTGCACTTCTGGGCCCTCGTGTGCAAGACAGGTGGAGCTCTGCCAGCAAACTGACTTCCTTCCACTGGTCATGAAGTGGCCACTGTTTGTGAATGATTTCCAGAGTCAGAAACTCTATAAAATGTTGCTTGATAACTCTGATAGCATTTTCACCTAGAGCGTCTGTACTGTGAAATCTGAACTTTTTATTGTAGCAAAAGACAAAACGTCTAAATAACAAGATAATGAAACCAGCCTTCCAGCACTTCTATCTTCTGTAGACCAGCAGAACCCTTTAGGGCTGTGGACAAGATTTTGGTATTTTTAAAATTTAGAAATAAGCATTGCTCCAAAAGAATGGCAATTTTGCATAACTGAAAACTAAATAGTAAATCAAGAAGGGAAGACTGGAAGAGCCTTTGGGCATTCCATGAATTGTGCATGGCCCCAGGTACATTGTATTCTGCCAGCAAGTACATTTCAAAGTGCCATTCGCCACATCACCATAAACCAAAATGCTCTCCCAGCGCATCAACAGCTTTACCACATTCCTCCTTAGTGCAAGACTTAATAGCCACAAATTTTGCCTCTTCACCCCCACTACCCCCGCCATATAGAATGAACTTAGTCACAGATACCTGTGTTTGTGCACGGCAACATGTCACAAATCTGTGACACTCATGTACAATAAAGCAAGACTTTGATTCTCACAGATGTTCTCAGGACAGCCCAGGGGAATATCAAAGCTCAATCAAGCACCAGCAGACCCATTCACACATTCAGGCAAACAGGAGGGTTTTACCTTTGTCTTCGTCTCCTCCCTCTGCAGCAACTCCTTCTCTTTCCAAAGTTTCTCTTTCTCCTCCTCCCTTTCTCTTCTTCTGATGGAAATTTCCATTTCCAGTCTCGCTAGCTCTTCCTGGTGGGCTCGCCATTGAGAAACCTGGAACACATAGAGACCCTTCCTTTCAATAACTATGTGCTATCACATGATTCCACATGGGACAAGTTTCTGTGTAGAGGAGAGGACTCAAGTTTTGCCAAAGGTAAATACAAATTTTATGTGCATTTGTGGATATAAGTGTACAAGTTAGTATAGAAAACGGCAAGCTTAAAATAGCTCATTCACTCTTTAGCTGAAATCGGGAAGTCATAAAATTTATGATTTTCCTGCAAAGAATCCATGACTTCCATAAAATTGTAGGCCAGGAGAGTAGGCCCCCTCCTGACAACCGCCTGGAGCACTGGGACCCACAGGCTGGATGACCCAGAGATCTAGAAAAGAACAAAACATGTCTGGAGAAAAAAATAAGAGGTCACTGCAATGATGCCTAATGATTTTCTGCTACACTCAGATTGGTTCCTCGCCCAATTGTCATCAGAGAGGCTTCATCCAGCAACTGGTGGAAACAGATGCAGAGATCCACAGCCAAACATTAGGGTGGAGTTCGGGGAATCCTGTGGAAGATGGGGAGGAAGGATTGTAGGAGCCAGAGGAGTCAGTACATCACAAGAAAATGCACAGAAATAACTAGCCCAGGCTCAGAGAGGCTCACAGTGATTGAATCAAAAACCAGGGTGCCTGCATGGGACTGACGTAGGCCTGCTGCATAGATGTTGACAGTTGCATAGCTTTGATCTTCTTGTGGGACTCCTAACAGTGGGAGCAGGGGCTGTCTGAATCTTTTGCTGGCTTTAGGAACCCTATTCGTCACACTGGGTTGCCTTGCTCAGCCTTAATACATGGGGGACGTGTTTAGTCTTACTATAACTTGATATGCCATGTTTTGTTAATATCCATGGGGGGGGGGGGCTGTACTTTCCTGAACAGAAACAGGAGAAAGTAGTTTTAGGGGTGGGAGACATTGAAGGGTTGGAGGGCAGGACTGGCAGGAGACGAGGGGAAAGTGCAGTCAGAATGTTACACATATGTATGTGTATATATATATATACAAACACACATACATAAATACGGTAGACAGAGCTATCAAGACAACTCAGCAGATGAAGACATGTGCTGCCAAGCTTGATGAACTGATTTCAGTCCCCACATGGGTTAGAAACTGTTCCATTCCTGTAGGTTTCCCTCTGACCCCCATATAAATGCTGCGGCACAAGTGTACCCATTCACATACACAAAAGAAATAAAAATGCAATTTTTATTAATTAAAACTTTAATTGTTATCCTTAAACTATAGATTGTTCCAAACAACAATCAAGGAAGGAACCATTTGTTCTATGCCTTTTCTTGTCTGGTCACTCAAATATCTGAGTGTCATTAGCTATGATGGCTGCCGCTCACCACCTCACGGTATTTATCCATGTATTCGTCACAGTCCACTTTCCCTCCCACAGATAGGTGAGCTCCCCCCGCCCCTTCACACAGTGATAGGCCACATCCCTGGGGCCTGGTCAGAACACTGATATTCTGTGCCTTGTTGTCTGTTGACTGACGTCACCCGTTTGGAATACTTCTGTCCCCTGATCACCGCATTTCAGTTGTTGCCAGAGAAAATATCGTGACTGGGGTTTTTCCTCCACCTGTCTCACGACAGGGTCCTGACCTACTCGCCCAAGTAGCTCAACACGAGTCAGATCATTCAAGAACCAGACTGCTGGCTGCATCAGACTCATCTTTGTTACAGGTCGTTCATCAGTTTGTAAGGTCTTCAAAACATGGCTTCAATTTTTCTTACAATCTAATCTTTAGACTTCCTGACGTGCAGTCATGAAAATGTAATTTAAAAAGTAAGGTAGAGCAATCAAGGGAGGGATACTCGATATCTATCACAGGCCTCTACACATAAGGACATACATCCACATACACACATGCACACATGGATGCATTCACCAACACATACACAACCACCACCCAAACTCTGGGACCTTAAAAGGTTTAAGAAGTGCTGACAGATTTCAGTCTCATTATTAAGTATGGAAAGTGAGCATAAATCAAGATGAAAACATAGAAGAAACTTCCTGGGTATGGGTATGTGCTACTGGTAGACAAGTACACAGCTTTTGCCAATATGTAAATATATATCGCAATATAAAGTACATATAGCCTTTTATTCATATCCCTGCCTCCAGGAAAACCATTGTGCTGGTTAGTTTTGTTTTTTGGGTTTTTTTTTGTTGTTGTTGCTGTTTGATCACAAACTGGAGTCAGCTGGGCAGAGGGAACCATAATTGAGACAATGCCTAAACCCACGGGACATTGATGTGGGAGGGGCCAGCTCACTAGTAGCACCACCTCTGAGCAGCAGGTGGTCATGGGTTCTCTAAGAAAGCTGGCTGAGCAAAGCCATAGAAAGCACAGTAATAAACAGTGTGCCTTTATGGCCTCTGCTTCAGTTCTTGCCTCTACATTCCTGCTTGAGGTTCTGACCTGACTTCCCTTCAGGGTGAACTATAAGCTATAAGCTGTAAGCTGAAATAAACACTTTCCTCCCTGTGCTTTTGATCATGGTATTTTATCCCAGCAACAGAAATCAAACAACCATCAACTAGACAAGTGCACGGAAATGTACCGCAGCAATGCTCTCTGCAGTGTAGTTTAAAACAATTTGAGAAAAATCTAAAGGCCCGGCAATAGACGGTGGCTTAAATCAATTTTGGTAAATTCATAAATACCTATGGTTGAGAAAAGATGCTAAATTTCTGCATTTGTTGATGTCTATAATATTTTAGATGCAAGACACAATGTAAAACCATATTTATAGTATGATCTCATCAGCATAAAGTGTCTGTATCTATGCAAAGAGAAACTTGTGGAAGGAGTTTTGCTCACATGATAATAGAGCCTCTCAACCTTATTTTGAAATATTTTTAAGTTATCCTAACCTTTCTTATATCTAAATTAATATATCCTTTCTAAGCTGGGTACATTTTTTAATAAACATGTTTTATAAACAAGTGATTAAAGAAATTATCAACTTTTTCTGGCCCTTCTACACATCTGCCTGACAACAGTGAAAAATACACAGGTGTGCAAAACTTCTCTTACTTGCAAAATTAATGTACTATCTTTAGTAAGTGATTCAAGCATTCATTAATAACACACAAAATTAAAAATTAAAAATATGAGTAAAGTGCCTCTAAATCATCTGGCTCCTTAAATATTTTATATTAACTTAAATTTTAGTTTTCTAAGAGTATGTTTTGCCATGTCTATGAAAATAAAAACTCCACCTCCTGGCTTGCAGCTACAGTCTCTACCCCATCAACCACTAACCAGTGAGGCTTAATTATTTGGACCTGGGACCTAAAATATATTGTCTATGCCCGGATGCTGCTATGAACCTTGCCTTTATCTTTTATCTGCGACTTCTACAGTCCAAATCAAATGTCCTGACAACTGTTGCCAACAGTCTCCCTGAACACTCAAAGGAAGGAGTCTGGCCTCTCCTCCACCTGTTGGCAATCCCACAAAGAAAGGATTCTTTCCCTTTGCATGTCATGGCATAGCTCTCCCCCACCTTCAACACTCCATGGTTCTCTCTCCCTGCCTCTTACCGGTTCAACCCATACCCTCTTTCTCCTCCAGTCTTATTCTATGATTTAATCCTGTTCTGTGAAGTCTTGCCTTGGGGAGACTGACTGCAAAATCTACATTAGCAGCTTTTTCTGCCTGCAATCCAGCTCTAAATTCTTAGAGTCCTATTTGCTAGTGCTTCTAGCATCCAGACTTCCAAAGTTAAAGTTGGGACCTGTGGTGCTGTCAAAGCTTCATACCAAGCCCAGGGTACATGTCTCTCAAACACCTGCTTCTGTCAGTGGGGCCACAAGTCTCTCCAGAGTATGGGTTATTTTCATTATGTAAGCCCAACAATAAAATGTTTCTTTGCATTTCATAACAATCTTTATATATAACACAATGACTATATTTACATATATAGTTTGATTTATACATGTATTTACTACTGCTTAGATGAGATTTCCTTTATGAGAAATCAATTTCAGAACCATTGAGATTGGTTGTAATTGTCTAACTCAATCATTTGGCTAAGTGTGTTGAACAAGACTGGAAAGTTCACAAGGGTAATGTCAATTGATTAAGTTGACTTTCTCGCTCACAACCCCACATTACTCTTTCTTGTATGTACTCCCTAAGTGAGCTTCTTTCTTGGCTCTGCCTTTAACAGCCATCCTTACTGGTACTCTTGCCAATGGTATGTTAACACCAATTCTTCAAATAATTTCAAGAATTATTTAATCTGTATGAGTCTTTTGCCTGTATGTCTGTGTACCATGCACATGCCTGGTGCCTACAGCAGCCAGAACAGAGTATTAGATCTCCTGAAGCTGGAGGTACAGACCATGATTAAGAAGCCATGTAAATCCTGGGAACTGAACGCAGGTCCTTTAGAAGAGTAGCTGTTGCTCTTAACCACTGAGCCATCTCTAAAGTCCCCAACTCATTCTTATCTTTAAATTCAAGGAGTGAAAGATACAAACACTCCTACTTGGAATGTCCTTGATTTCCCTCTGTTTGTTAAGATGGTTTATCACTCATCTGGGGCCCAAAGCATGGCTCGCAGCTTTCAAACACTCTCCAGCACATGCACCGCTGTCTCTTATTTCATACACCATGCCATCACTACTCACTAATATGCTGAGCATCTTGTTTCCACTTAGAACATATTTCATACATTTGCCTCCTCCTTATACTGTCAAGCAGAGCACTTGTGCATGATACGTGCCTAATGATAACCTTCTATGTAATTAATCAAACAGTTTGCCCAACAATTTGCCTAAGTTGCCATTTCAGGCATTTTAAGTACAAAGAATCCCTCTTCCATTCTTGAGAAAAGATAAAGGATGGTTTTTTTTTTTTTGAAGGCTGCAGAGATAGACTGTACCACAAAATTTTGAAACTACAGGCAAGTTCAATAATCACATTATATGTCAGGTAACATAAGCAAGAGAAAGAAGAAAAAACAA